AAACCCGCACACCCACACCCACACCCAAACCCGCACACCCACACCCAAACCTGCACACCCACACCCAAACCCGCACACCCACACCCAAACCTGCACACCCACACCCAAACCCGCACACCCACACCCAAACCTGCACACCCACACCCAAACCCGCACACCCACGCCCACACCCACACCCACACCCACCCACACCCGCACCCACACCCATCCACACCCACACCCACACCCTGTTCTATGAGAACTCATTAGATCACCCCAATATGTAAAAACAAAAAGAATGTGAAGTGGAAAAAATCCAACAAATTTTCAACTCTTCTTCGACAAATACACATAAAAAATATAACCTCCCTTTGTGTCTTACTGATAAGAGCAGAAAATGAAAAGACTAACCTGGTGCGATTAATCAATCTTTCAATCATAAAGCACTAAAAGTCTTACAGATAGAAACAGAATAGTTGAAATACTTTGATGATTATTTGTTCGAAACAAATAAGCACTACCATAGATGTCTTATTGAGAGAAAACAAGTGCTGTTGTAATAGAAATGGTTCTTGAGCGACAGAGTTAAAAAGCGAAGAAGAATTTTTTTATTGTTTTTCTGATTAAGCATCTGTTGTTGTATTTCACTATAGTCCATATACGGATTGTTCAGGGTGTGTGTGTGGGTGTGGATATGAGTGTGGGTGTGGATATGAGTGTGGGTCTGAAGATGTGGGCATGGATGTGGGTGTTGGCGTGGGTGTGGGTGTGGGTTGTGAGTGAAGAGATGATCGATAACTACATCCACGCCCACCTCACACCCCCCCCCCCCCCCCCCCCCCCCCCCCCCCTCTCCCAAACACCCACACGCACCCCACCCACACCCACACCCTTCATTTAATTTCGATAAATTATTTCATTGTGTTAAACCAAGATTATTTTCAAGTAATGGATTAACACCAAATTTAAGTAAATGACGAATATATCCTAATTAGAAAAGTTTATATTTCATGTTTCATTAATTCGAAAGATTTTACTCGATCAGACCATTAGATACAGATAAATGAAGACATGTACTTCCATCAACCATTTGATTATTTGGATTACATCCAAGTTTAAGATACTTCAATAATTATTCTACAAGAGTTATTTTTTCATTTAAAAAATAACAAATAAAATAATCAATCTAATACCTGTGTCTCTATTTTCAGCAGCTCTAAAGAGGATTGACTCGGAATGTGAAGATGATAATGATGATAGAGAACTTAAATCACTTTTGTCTGTAGTAGGATTGATAAATCGGCAACGTCTGTTGCAGATATAAAACGTTTTTCAGCAACTACCCAGGTCGAAATAGCTATGTCGGACAGGTTTTAAATCCGTTGACATACGGCTAATCGGATTCGGTCGGTTACTTTTTGTCGGATTCCGATGTTATCCACTGTTTTCCTTTGAGATCCGCTGATCGGATTCATCGAGTTCCGACTAAATTCATATATTCGGCATTGTTCAGATCCGATCTCAGGATCTGTTCGCTTCCGATGGAATTCAGGGGAATCTGATATCAAGAAATGGCCGGAATTTGTGGTTTCACATGACACCAGATTCCATGATAAAACCGATCAATCACTGGTATCGGAACTTGTCGGATTATATAAGAATACAGAATACCCAGGTCGATCTCGCCCCATCGAATCCGATGGAAATTCATCGGAAGTTATCGGATGTTGGAAAGTGTCAGATTTTCATAGTTCCGACAAGATCCCGGCCACTTCTGACACTTTCCGACATCCGACAACTTCCTGTCGGAATCCGATACCAATGATTTCGACATATTCCGACGAATTGCCATAGGATTCGATAAAATTCGATAATTTTACCGATAGGATCCGACAAGATCCGACTGTCGGATTGTTCGTCCTGGGTATCTAGTAATAGTTTCCACGTAATCGGATTCATGACTTAGAATATATTCTCACAGATCAATCAGCTAATTAATTAATTAGATATTTCTATTTTTACAAATCTCCAACAACAAAATCAAAAATCTGTAAATCCGATTTTGTCCAGATTTCATTCACCATTTTGTTTTACAGATATCGATCTATATAACGAAGTCTCTACTTTCATATATCAAGTGAATTCTGCAATTTTGTTTAATTAAGTTCTATATATTAGGAACGATCTTAGTACAAGTATTGTGCGATTTTAAGAGGGATCGTAGTATATACATTGTTGGATTCCAGGAATAATCCTAGTTGAACCACTAGAAATCGTTTAAACTCTTGATGACATCTTGGTGCAATCTTTAGAAATTTTGATAATATCCTGGTGAAATCTGTATAAAATTTCGATTCAACCCTTAGAGAATCTTTACAAACTTTGATGAAATCCTTGAAAAATCTTTAGAAATCTTGAGGAAAATTGGATGAAATTCTCAGAAATCTCTAGTAAATCTTTGGAAATTTTGAGAATGCTTGAATGAAATCTGTGTGAAATATTGATTGAATCCTCGTGCAATCGAAACAGATTCAGTCAACTTCTGATGAAATTCGACTGTATTCTGTAGTGATGGGCCGAAACATATTCGAATATTAAGAAATGCTTGCCTGTTTTAATTATGAGTAGAACGAAAGAAACAAACAAACCGTTTCGTCATTGTCATTTTTTTTTCTCAATGATTTTATTTCTATTCGAATGTGACGAGTATACTCTTTCATTCTCTTCCCGACGAAGAGAACATCATTTTCAAATTAGACGTAATACACCGTCTATTACGTAATAAAGAGAAATATAAAATATCATGTCGAGCGATTGAACGGTAGTGTGTCATTATTTCGTAAGGAAACGATATAACGTCAATCGCATTCATCACGTAAGTAGCAAATGCTTTCTATTTACTTGCAGTTGGTTACAGATGGATTGATCACGAAACTTTGAATAGTTCTTCGTATTTTTCGAGCTGTCAGTACATATGGTCTCTGATATGTTTCGGAGATTTACATCAATTATTTTTACCAACTTCGTATGCCGGTATTATTTTAATACGTATGAGATTGAGTACACGCTCAATGTAGAGCTTCTCTTATAGATATTAGCTGCTGCCAGGGATGAGAAATAAATCAAAGAAAGTACACAACTTCTATGTTGCATGTCATGATTGTTCCATTGAGTGAGGAGCCATTCTCATATGATTAGCCAACTGTCCTTTTTACTAATGCATGTTATTTCGTATCCAGTACTTTTCAACTTCAATTTACTTCTACAATCTTCCAATGTCGGATATCCATTCACCACAATCAAATTCGTCGTCTACATCTAATTTAACAACAACACCACGAAGAATTTTGAAAGCAAAACGAAGTTTAGTATGGAGATACTTCAAAATTGAAAATGATTCATTCGATGTCGAGTGTATACTATGCTCGTCGACTGTACCTCGTACATCAACATCAACCTCTAATATGTTACATCATCTACAAATACGTCACAAACTCGAATATGAACTCATTAATAAAGCTACGAAATCGAAAAATGATGCTTCATCACAACGCTTACCATTAACAAGTGCTCGATCAGAACATCTGACAAAACTCGCTGCTAATTTACTTATCCACGATTTACTTCCACTTTCTGTTGTCGAAAGCTGTCATCTCCAAACGATCTTTCGAGAAGCTGAACCATCTTACGTATTACCAAGGCGCAAATATTTTGTAACAAATGTTTTGAAAGACATGTACAATTCAACTCGAAACAAAGTGCAGCATGCATTACATAATGCTATAGGTAAGTGTGATACGCATTTTTCAACTTACATATAAACTCATTTATTTTTGTGGTGTTGCAGCTGTATGTTTGACTACTGATATATGGACATCACAAGCTAATCAGCCGTACATGACAATCACTTGTCATTTTATGGATCCTGACAGTGGTGAACAAAAGAGTTACGTTTTAGATACTTCAGAGTTTTCCGGTCATCATACAGCAGATAGAATTGTACAACGGCTGGAAGAGGTGGCAATTGAGTGGTCAATCATCGACAAAATCGTTTGCCTCGTGACAGACACATGTAGTACAATGAAACGAGTTGGAATAGAGTTTGGGAAAGGTATGTTTTTGTGGATGATAATTGTCTTATGATTGAAGTAAAGCATTTCTTTAGGTTGGGTCGGATGTGCCGACCATATTATCAATCTATGTGTGTGCGGTGCTACACGACAATTAAATGAAATTAAGGAGTCGCTCGAAGGTGTTCGTCATATTGTTATACTCATTCGCAATAGTCATTTGGCCAACGAAATATTAAAAAAACATCAATGTTCCTTCGGTAAAAAAATGGTAAACGATGTTTTCATTTCTCATAATCTTTAATAGGTTTGGAAGAGCATTGTTTGATTCTCGATGAACCGACGAGATGGAACAGTACTTTCTATATGCTCGAACGATTTCTTCAGGAAAAAGTTGCAATTATTGCTTGCTTCAACGAAAAAGAGTTTCAGAAATATTTGGTCAAATCGAAAATATCGAAAAACATCGACTGGGAAGCAAAAGAGCAACTAAAGGTATAGAAAATTTTGGTTCTTCTCCCGTCTAATTATTCTGTTTGTTTAAGGAATTGCTGGAGCCATTTGAAAGCGCAACAAGAAAGTTGGCCTCTGACTCTGTACCTACAATTTCAATGATGTTGGCGATATTTACGACGCTTATTACAAGTGTCGAAGGCCGGTCTACTGATTCTTCAATTATAAAAAAAGTGAAAGATACGATTAGAAGTGGTATTGACAAAAGAATCAGCCATTTATATCAAGACAAAATTGTATGTCAATGCAGTACACTCACTAACTAATAGCTAGAGAAAAGATTCGTGAGTCTTGTACTTCTTTTAGAATTAGCAATAGCTCCATCATATTCTTATTCACACAATCTATCGAGATACTATAGGTCGTAAGTTTTGAGATAATCATGCGGCTAGCAGCGCAAAATATCTACGTTTGCGTTATTTTACAAGGGACCTGTTGTGGGCACAACAGGAATTCGATTCATTGTTGAATAGAAAGAAGAATTATGAGGTAGTCACTGATAAGGTTTTAAGTGAGTTTTACTGCAGAAACTTATTTATGTCGGCCCGGAATTATTTTATGGTGTTGAAGCTGAAAATTTTCAAAAGCCTGATGTTTACTTTTGATCAGATTGAAATCGTGCTCTCAATGCATATGACCTATAGCAGTCTATTTATGTGATATAGTAGTTTCTCGTTTATTTTCATGTAGAAATAGATATGTTACAGATATGTTACATGTCACTCAAATAGATTTGTTACATGTCACTCAAACGGCAGTACGAATACATATGATATGTATTCGTACTGCCGTTTGAGTGACATATTTGTCGTCTACTTATTACGTAATAGACGTCTTACGTTCGTCACGCCGCTGATAATTCATCTATCTTTCGTTTCTGCCGTTACTTCAGACGGATATATTCGTGTGCTCGAGTTATTCTGTTCTGTGTCATCGTTGACGATTATCGACGGAACGAAAGAGAAATTATTTCGCCTCTTTCGCATACCGGCCCATCACTAGTATTCTGTCAGAACCTTACGTTATCAGGCGTTTCTCTGTGAAAGAATCCTGATGGTTACGGCATTATCTGACAAGCAGTTGCGACAGGAACCGATCGGATCCTTTCCGACGTAATCCGGTCCGAAAACCGTTGGTTAGGAATCCTGTGAAGTACGGTTGGGTCTACCGGTAGGATTGAATGACCTGGGTTTATGATCGTGAATATATTAAACATTTAATAAATTATTGAGAAATATAAAGTGTTGGAGAAATATTTTAATTATATTCATCGTTATATAACGAATATTTGAATGATTATTGTTGAACTTTTCTTTCAAATCATACTATCATCTTTCTTACAGAAAAGTCAACAATATTTTCTTTTAGAATAATTTTTACACTGGCATTGTTTGTTATCATATGAATGTGAAATTATCTTAAAATAAATTTTAGAGAATTATATAGAAATATAATTAGTTTTTTAATAAAAATGTAACGTTACCCTTCGATTAATTTATTGAATACTTTTTTCAAAGTAACGAATATCTATAGAATTAATTGTTGAATATTTATAACGGTTTGAATATATAAACTCGAAATAAGCTGTCAACATTTCTGCAATAAAATCCAAAAATTTAATATAAGAACAATTTTCAAATGACAAAGATTAAATTGATGTTTTATCATTATAGAATTGCTTTTCATATGCAAAGAGTAAATTCTGAAACTAGTGATTAATATGAATATTTATCGAATTTTTTAAAATTTTTTCTTTAAGATAAATGTGTTGATCACGAATACAAACAAAGTTGTTATTAAAAATAAAAGAAAAAACAGTTTTCTACAAGACAATTTAACTATAACAAATTACGTTTAGAAACTATAAGCTTGTTGTTTTTCTAATTTTTAGAATATTTTTTAGTTTTCACATATCAATATGAAGACAATGAAAATATTATTTAACACATAACAATTTTTGATCGATTGTCTTGAAAACCTTCAACATTTTCTTAATTTTTTAGACAAAAATGAAACTAATCTTATTTTACGATTGTTTTCATCTAAATTTATTCAGATTCATAAATATAATTTGCATCTTTTTATTGCTTTGTGATGTAGATAAAATGTCGAACAATTTGTTTCTTTTCTTCTTTTATTATCATTTTATTGTTTTTATTTTTCTCAACGAGACGTCATATGCACATAATTTTTAACTACACTTCATTTTTCAATTTGTGTTCTGTATTCACATAAAAAGTCTATTTATTTATTTTCTAAATCATTATTACGCTTGACATTTCCATAAAAGTAATATTTTTCTAGACCTACACTTACAAGGTAATATATGTAAGTGTAAAATCGCTGTTAAGTCTGAACTATGTGTATCATGTAGACTTTGGTAAGACTAGAAAAAGCCATAAAAGATAACGACTGCTAGGTTTCTCTTCTCGAGTTATGACCGTTTTATTGAGTTCTTACTCTGTGCATAGTACTTCGAGACAAATCGAAGGAAGGAATTTCGAGCTGAAATTTTGTCCATAAGCAGGCCTAATGATCCTTAGAATGCCCTGAAGGTTTCAGGCAAAACGAATGCTCCATTCTTAAGATATTCAATTTTATTTAAATAGTCACCTGCCACCGGCATTTCATAAAAATCGAGATTTTTATAAGTTCAATATTTCAAGAAGGAAACATTCATTTTGCCCGAAAACCTTCAGGATATTCTGGGTATCATTAGACCTACTTGCAGGCAAAATTTCAGCTCGAATTTTCTTCCTTCAATTTGTCTCGAAGTGCCTTGTATGGAGTAAAAAAATTAAATAAAGCGGTCATAATTCGAGAAGAGAGGCTAGTAGCCCTTGTCCTTTATGGTTTTTTTAGTCTCACTAAGGCTTATATGATGCACATAGTTCCGACTCAAAAGTGATTATACACTTGCATATGTTACCTCGTCAGAGTATTCACATATTTCGCTAATACTGTTCTATGAAATGGTCAATCTCATTGTATACATAACTTTCTCATTTTTTTATTTTATTTAAGACTTTCAATATTTAATCAACAATACATTTCAACTGATAAAAATCATTATTTAAATCAATGAAAAGTAACGAAATCTATCAATGCAATTAATATATATTTAACTTAGAATTTTATTTTAGACAATCAACTTTTTATATTATTATTTGGTACAACATTAACAAGTCTTGCAATTATTTTAGTTTATTTTCAACAACAAAAGAAGAAAAAAAGCGATGAAGAACAAGTATTGGTTATTTATATAATTAATTATAAATAATTATTGTTTTTTTATAGAAAAATGAATATTTAAAATGTAAATCATTATTTGATTTTGAAGAATTAGCTAAAAAATTGTTGATGCCGCATCGATTTTATTATTTTAATTATAAAGCTGGACAAGGACATACTTATCAAGCATGTAGAGATTATTTTGATAAAAGATTAAGAATTATGACAAGAATTTTAATTGATGTCAGGCAAATTTCATTAAAAACGAATATTTTTGGGTAAGAAATTATTATTATAAATTATATTGAAAAATATTCTTCCTCTTTCACATCAAATATATTGAAAAATCTATTAAATTATAAACTTTTCAGTAAAAAATCTTTGCCAATTAAGTAAATGAAGTATTTTTGCGATACTAAGTTTTATAGAGAATAAAAGGAAAGTTTTGTTTAATGTCCGAAGAATATCGAAAGAAATTAATGAAAATTCTATTATGAGAAATTTTCTACATATTGTTTGTAGAGAAGAATATTCATGTCCAATAATAATCGCTCCATCAGCATATCATTGTCTTGCTCATATTGATGGAGAAGTTGGAACAGCTCGTGGTGCAACTGAAGCTCAATGTATTTATACTTATAATTGGATGTATTCAAATATCTTAGAAGATAATGTTTTACAAACAACTGGTAAATTAGAATTATTATTTGTCTAACATTATATTGATTTTTTATTTTAGGTCCAAAATTTTTACATGTTTATTTAACAATGCCAATAGAAATCTTAGAGAAATTAGTTGAAAAAGCTGCTGAAAATGGATATCGAGCAATTGTTGTCACATGTGATGATCCAACTAGTCGTGTTTGGAATAACATATTACCAGTATTTTTAGAAGCTTCAAAGAATATTGATCCAAATTTAATGAAAACTGCAATTATGCCAAATATGAATATATTTGATTTAAGCATTGAACCAGATTTCTATGATGGTTCAATAACATGGACAAACATTGAAAGATTAAGAAAATTAACAACGTTACCCATTATTTGTAAAGGAATACTTTCACCATTGGATGCAGAATTAGCGATTAAATATGGAGCTAATGGAATTCTTGTCAGGTTTGTCTCTATTATCAACTAATTGGTTTAATATATATTTCATAATAGTAATCATGGTGGTCGACAGATTGATACAACAGTACCAGCTATTGAATGTCTTGAAGATATTGTCAATATCGTCAATGGACGTGTAGAAGGTAGATTCAATTTAATCACAATAACGAATATTTTCTCAATTGTCAAAATATTTACAAATAAATGTTCTCATAGAAATATAGTCTTTTCTACCTATATATAACTCTTAAGTAATATGCTGACTGAACAAAGTAACTTTGGCTTAATCAATATTTTCTAATCACATAAAATTCTACAGTATACCACTGGAAGGATTTCCATGTTCTGAGAAGATCTGATCAACATTTTTCATAGTCTTAAAGAATAATATATTTGTTCTCTATTGACTACGTTACTGATATAGTTAAATCTTCAACATTCTTAGTATAATTTATTTTTTAGTATTTGTTGATACTGGTATTCGAAATGGAAGTGATATATTAAAAGCATTGGCATTAGGTGCACGAGCTGTTTTTATTGGTCGACCAGTTTTATATGGATTAACTTGTGGTGGACATGATGGTGTACGAAGAGTTTTAGATATATTAAAACAAGAATTAATTTATGATATGGCTTGTTGTGGATTAGCAAGAATTGATCAAATAAATAAAGATATTCTTTATAAACCTTCATAAATATATTAAATTAAATATAAATATGTGAACGCGAAATTATTTAACTTCCAGAATGTGTATGAAATTTGACAATATATTTTAATCAAGTAGATTTTTAGTTTTCCATAGTTTGATTTTGAAATTAGAAGTAATTCAATGTATTTTATTTCAAATAAAAATGAAAGAGAACAAAGATTTTCGATTGTAACATGTCAGATTAAAATAATGATGAATTTTTGGCCTTTGTTTTGTTTCTTTTCAAATAAATTGCTATTTCTAGATTCAAATTTTCAATAAAAAATGATGTTAATTATCATAAAGGATGAATAAAACATCGTATATTTTATTTTATTAGGTTTCTGCTTTTTTATTAATATTTGTGAATATATCAAATATTGGTGAAATTCTTCCAAAATACAAAGTATTGAAACAATATTTTGATGATAATCGCAGTAATATACTGTATTTTTGGTATCATTGTTATTGATTGCTATAAAAATTTATTGGGTGTGGGTGTGGGTTGGCTCAGAGAAGACGAACACTCACACCCCACACCCACACCCTCCTTTTTTTCATTCTCAAGTTCTGGAACTAACTAAAATAAAATGTATTTATTTATAAATACAAATCTATTTGTTTTTATCTACTAATGTAAATCCTTGTTCAGTATTATCAAGTGCAATTTTTAATGTTTGTAGTTGTTTTCTTTGTTGAATAATAAGTTCTTCAAGTTGTACAAGTTATGTTTCATATGTATTCTTCATTGGTATTTGTTCATTGAGTATATCTTCTTTAACATGTTCACTATCACGAAGAAATGCTGCATATGAATCACTGTGACAACTAACGTTAGATGTTTTTTTCATATATGCTTAGAGATATGTAATAACAAACAATCGAATATTTTATTTAATTCATATCCTTTATAATTTCTCTTTTGAAAAGATTTCTAATCCAATGACATTACGTGTTATCTCTACAGATTATATACAGCTTCAGAGTCACAATAACTGTATGTTATGTATTTACTAGAAAAGAAAAAAGAAACACCGAAAGTAATAAACATCAACAGAAAAAATATCGAAAGTGCTATTCATATTGCTTCAGCGCACCCTTTTATCAACACTGTGTAAATAGTCGGCAGCAGTATTCGTATCTAGCACTTATATATGAATAGTGTGCACTTGAATGTTATTAATATCATTTTGATATATTCGTTTTCAACATTTGTTCGTTCTACCAAATTTATACATACCCAATAACCTTCTGTGCATTTTCTTTCTTTGATTGGAAGTTATGAAGAGATTTTACTGCAATTTGCTAACGTGTTTGACAAGAGTTATTTCTAACGTTTTCCTGCGTAATAATATTTGAAACAGCTATTTTTTTATATGAAAAACTAACTAATCACTTCATTTTTGTGTCTATCAGCCATACACTGTTCGAACTACCACTCTACAAAAAACTATATCAACCGGGAGGTAATTTACATTCAAAACTCTATTAATAACCACAGAGATAAGTAAATCAAGTCTATTTCACGAGAATGGACGAACAGAACGCAAGAGATGAATTTTTTTTTGTTTTGTTTGTTCTTTCGGAAAAATATACTTGATTTACCATATCTGCACATCAATACATGAAAAATCCAATATTTTTTGTCATTTTTCAAAGAAAATTCCATGTTTTAGAAAAAATTCTGATTGAAAGCCGCTTGTCATTTGTCTATTTATAGTTGATTGCCTCGCTCATCTATATACATCTTCTATCGTTTCATTAGACAACAATGCAATATCAGTCAATTCTTCGATTCTTATCGATATTAATAGTGTTACCATTAGTAACAAAAAGTTTTATTCTGTTTCATCATTGTCAAAATCGTGTAAAACGAACTACGACAGATGAATGTTGTGTTTCAGCTAAACTTAATGTTGGTGCTAAAAAATCGAATAATGGTCGAGATTTTTTTCGTCGATTATCAAGTCAATCTGATTCATATAAAGAAGTTAATCCTGAAAATATGTGTAATCTTATTCATTTTCTTATTCAAGAAGCATCACTCAACAATAAATCCGTTACATTCACTAAAGGTATATGAAGTTTCATTGAATAATTCTATAATTATTTTTCTTATAGGTATGTTTGTTATTTTCGATTCGACAAATCAAATTTTTAACCAATTAATGAAAGCTAAAAGTGAACAAAAATCTGGCGATGAAGCGAAATATGCGGGTTATTTTGAACGTCTTAAACATATGGGTCATCAAGCTATTGATTATTTTTTTAAACATTTACTTAAAAAATCTGATCGAATCGAATCGGATACATTCATTTATGTTCGAGGTGATGAAAGTTCTCATTATCATGGAGAACGAGGTTCAAAATGGGATCGAACACGTAATTATCCTGCATACGGAATGGATATTCCTGGTGCTTGTATGTATCTTATTGACATAAACTTTTTTCTGAAGATTTCTTTTTCAGGTATGCCTAGTGGTTTTGGTCATATTCTTTTCGGTAGACTTCCTCCTATTCAAATTCATGGTAAATATGCTGGTGAACGTATTTATATAAAACCGGAATTATTTGGTATTCGTCAATTAAAACAATTTATTAAACATGCCCAATCTTATTTTGAACATGTATCCCGACGATATGTATGCCAAATAAAAGAAATGCAGACGCAACCTGGTTGTTCAATAGAAGATGCATTTCGAGAAAATACGGATAAAAAATTATTAGAAAAATGGAGACAAGTTTTAACGACAATTCCATCTATATCGAATATTGACGAACAATATATGAAAAATGCAACGAAATATGGAATTGGTGAAATTGATCGACAATCAAAAGAATTAGAAGCTGCTGGTCATAGTGAAATAATTAAAGAATTTCGTGATGCGATGATTAAACAATATGGACAAGATGATATCAGTGTACGAAAAGGTCGAGAAATTATATTTACAACACAAGGATTATCATATAGTCCATTGACATGTGAATTCTTAAGTGAAATGAAAACATGTTGATTTCATAGAATTTACTTTTGTTCCTTTTAAATAAATAATACTCATTCTAAATTTGGGACTATTCCTCTTAATTATTGAATTAGTGACAATGAATATCTTAATGCAAGTGAGACAATTGTACGTATTTCTTATATTTCTAATTAATCGTATTGGGCAATCTTATTTATGTACTTAAGCCTGTGGTTTTATTCTTGGAAGATCGTCAATTGATGAAAATTCATGTTTCTTGTTTCAAATAATTAAATTAAATTTAAATAATCTATTGATAAGTGTTTTTATTTTAGCCTAAATAATGTTTGTTGCATCCTTTATATTTTCGTAAACATCATTGTCGATTATTTTTTCTTCGACGTCGTTTACATGTTCTTATGTGTTCATTGCTATTTCTATTCCTCCAAAATTTGCAGGCATTATCATTAGATTCCTGATGTTTTTCAATTCTTTTCTTGCTTTTCGTTCATTGGCATTCAAGTTTTATTTTTTAGGTCCTTGACGTCTTTTCATAAACGGATTGATTTGAGAAATAGCTTCTCCTTCCATTATTGATGCCAGTTAAATCAATGCAATTTTTGTATTTATGACTATATCAGGTCAATTGATTGATTTCGTGGTTATACTTAGTTTTGAAGCTTCTGAATAAGAATTGTACACGATCATTTTTTACTTGAAGGTGTGGATGTGGGTATACCTCTTGTGGTCATTCCCAACCACGCTCACACCCCATACCCACATCCTTCATGGAAGGAACGAACGGTATTTTTTTTCTTCTTTTTTGCAATTGCATTGTTTGCTTTCCTCAATTCTCGGCATGCAACAAATTGTAGATAAGCGGGAACTAGCGAGCAACAAAGATAACAAAGAGAGTGATGTGAGGCACACTATCTGCGCAGCACACCTTTATTCGCAGTGTATTTTTTTTTCTGCGCTGCACCACACAGTAATAGAACGAAAATATGTCAGAAGTGAATAAAGTTGGCTTGGAAATGGCTACCTTCGGTGCTGGTTGTTTCTGGGGAACGGAAAAATTCTTTCGCGATCAGTACGGAGACAATTTGGCTTCGGCTGTCGTCGGATACATGGGTGGCAACTCAAAACCAACCTATGAAGATGTTCGCACTGGCACCACAAATCATGCTGAAGTTTTGCAAGTATCCTTCGAGCCGAAAAAAGTGGAATATAGTGACTTAGTTCGCTTTTTCTTTCGCATGCATGATCCAACAACGTTGAACCGCCAAGGCAGAAGCCAGGGCACTCAATACCGCTCGATTATCTTTACTCACACAAGAGAGCAGCAGATGATTGCGGAGCAAGTACGCGACGAAGTACAAGCTAGCGGAAAGGTCAAAGACCAGATCGTCACGCACATACAACCAGTCAATGATCTGCAGTTCTATATAGGCGAGCCTTACCATCAAAGATATCTGGACAAGAATCCAAATGGTTACTGCAGCCATAAACTATACTATTAGTGTTCTTTGAATGTCTCGAAATTTATAACAGTTTTATCCAGTGCAACATAGTCACACGAAGCTTAATAATTGCATTCATGAAATAAATAGTAGAGTGAAATTTGATAGAACTCAAACATAATTTCAAAGCATCATATGCATTCATAGAAGTACACGTGGTCTAGTAGTACCTCTGCATATTGTATAGTTGGACGAAAGATAACGAAACTCAGTAATCAACACAAATTATGATTGCTCTCTGGTCTTTATAACAAGATGTTACTTGACTTTACTAAGTAGAATTGTCTCAGTCTTTAATTTCTGGATATACTCATGTAAAAAAATTTGGATTAAGAATCAGATTAAAAAGCTTGTTAGCGCAGCCCCTTTGGGCCTGAAATGTGGAACTCACATATCTCCTTTGGTTTCATTATACTAATGACAAAATACCCAATATTTTAAATCTCCAAAAGATAATAGTTCTTTTCTAAAGATAATCGATTATTAGAAAATGATATATTTTTATCTCTCAATTTCGAAGAGAATTCTTTTTTCACGAAGTTGCCAAGGTCTGCAATGGGGGTATGTCTGTAATATTCTCTTTCCCGTTGCTATGTGTCTGTAATGGGGTGGGGGAGGGGGAGCCGCCAACCTCGAACTGAAAACTTACACTCACTATTTTCTTCGAAAACATACGCGAGTCCCACAAAATCGATTATAATCGATTTTTCAGCCTTACAAAGATAGATTTCATTTGATTTTGATTTTTTTAAAATCTATTTTAATCGATTATTATAATTTTTGTACTCAATATATTAAAACAGATTTTTAAAAAAACCAAAATCAAATGAAATCTATCTTTGTAAGGCTGGAAAATCGGATGAAAATCGGATTATAATGGTGCCATTATAATTGATTTTTAATCTGATTCTTAATCCAAATTTTTTTACATGGGTACTACCCATAAATGCATAACCCTTTATCAATATGATTTCAATATGACAGTTTCTCATCTTTATTGTATCTTCGAGTTCTAAATCATCTTTTTGCTTCCTTTGGGCGCCCAAAATAGCTTGCCGAGTACTCGCTTCAGGTTGATGAAAAAAAGAATAAAAGGGTATCGGAGAAGTGTGAATGTGGGTGTCCACGAGCTCCGCATTCAGGGTGTGGGTCACTGTGGGGTGTTGGTGTCGGTGTGTGTGAGGGTGGGTGTGAATGTAGCTATGTGTGATGGTAAATGTGAATGTAGAGATGATCTGAATAATGGCAGCTACACCCACACCCAATCCCTCACACCCAGCCGAATCCACACGGACATCCACACCCACACCCCACACCCACACCCACCCACGCCCTCTAGCGGCACACTAAAAATAAATATGCATAATCGAAAAACATTTATGCTCATCATGTGATTTTATCGTAGTTATATTTCAATTAGTTTTTTATATTGACTTCTATTATTGAAACAACTTACATTCATTAATATTATAGTATTCCTTGTCATTACTTTCTTGAATGTTATTTTCTACTGTTTAAAATATGATTAACTTATGATGTTTTCATGGAAAGAGTAGAACGAGAAAACTCTGAAGTCAAGAATGTTTTTTGTTGAGAAAAATTATCTAAAATATAGTTTTGAGAAAATGTTAAGATATGAATCATCTATTCCGGGTGGAATATTCTTTTGTTGTAGCACACCTGTATAGACCGTGCACTATGCATGCCAGATTAAAGATCTAACTGGGCATCCTGTTATGACGAGGCAGTGTAAAAGTGAGAGAGTTCTAAATATTCGTAGGTAACTGCTTTCGTTACTTGATAGTCCATTTACGTTCATTGTCCGATCTTTGTAACGTAGTCTTCTCTGTAGTACACAGCGCAAGCGAAAGGAAGCACTCGTAGTCATGCGCATGTATAAGTGCATGGATTCCCTAACTAACAAGAAAGAAGTGGATAGCAATCCAAGCCAATTTATTCAGCAAGTGAGAACAACAACAAAAAAAGAAGACAACTTCTGTTTCGCCATGTTAGTACCTCTCATGACGTTTTTAATATTACGATGTAATGTATACACTCCACCAGTGTTGGCGTAAGAAGCATCCAACTCTGGATGAGTCAAAGGGAGAGCTTCTTCTTTGATTTTATGTACTTTATATTGAAACTCAAGTGCTTTCAAGTAGCTACTCATGTCGTAATATAGTTGATTTGTGCTGAGTATATTGTCTTACTATTTAAAATAGAAGGAATTGATTGTTGACCTTGAATACTTTGCCGATAGCACTTTTGATGAAAAGATGGTTGAACACTACGAGCTCGTGTAAATTCGATAAATTGATAGCAATGCCACAGCATGGAAGAATTTTGAACTAATGAACGAAGCAGACCTTCTCGTTGTTCCATATCGCTGTCATTATCATACATTATTGATTGAGAATTATATTGCTGATGTTGTTCATTCATACCTATTTATTTGAATTAACTTGAGTTGTACGAATGTAACTCTTCGATCTATTCATTTTGAACATATAGGGTGTCCAGTAAGTAACTCCACAAAGAAAAAGTTGAATATCTCCATTATGGCTCGACCAAACGGGCTCATTTTTTTACCAAGGATAGAGGTATGTTTACACTTCAAATTCATACGGACAAGATTAGTGAGAACTTCTGCTAAGTACTACTATTGACCTCAACAAGAAAAATTTTACTTGTCACAGATAGGAAAAGAAAATAATATACTTACCATAGGTTCTCACTAGTCTCGTTTGTATGGATTTGGAGTGTTCACATGCCTCTATCTTTGGTAAAAAAATCAGCACGTTTGCTCGAGCCGCAATGGAGATATTCAATTTTCGTTTTGGATAAAGTGACTTTTGCACCATTCTGTATATTGTTTTTCCCTAGCTGTGAAAAGTAAAATTTTCTTGTTGAGGTCAATAGTAGTACTTAGCAGAAGTTCTCCCTAATCTTGTCCGTATGAATTTGAAGTGTGAACATACCTCTATCCTTGGTAAAAAAATGAGCCCGTTTGGTCGAGCCGTAATGGAGATATTCAACTTTTTCTTTGTGGAGTTACTTACTGGACACCCTATATACTTACTTATCATATTCGTCTGAAAGCTTGTGTGTCAACGTTGTGTGATACATTTAGCTCATGCACAGTCATTCATATACGTGTAATGATTGCGCATTATATTTTAATAAAATATAGTATTTGCTTCATAGGTAAGTATATTATCGTCGTTTTGCTTGTTTTGTCCTACGTCATGCGAACAGCATAATCAACAGCCATACGATGTAAACACAATCAACATTAACATGTGCGAAATACCACACATTCATCAATTTCTTTCACCATCGTGCACTGGAGTGACGTAATAGTGAGTTATTACTGGTGAAACTTTGCTGCTTCATTCGATAATCAAGGTTGAATACCATTCTCAAAATCTACTTTCAAAAATAGGCAGATCAGTCGATTTGAATCGTAGTTTGAATTTCATTTCTTACTGCAAAGACCGTATGAGTTTTAATCACAGTTCCAATTCAAATTTC